CCCTAAATAAATAAATAAATAAATAAATAAATAAATAAATCTTAAAAAAAAAAGAACTGCTTTCTCACCGTTCATGCCCTCTGACAAAGTCAGCATTTTCAAGTGAGTTGGAAACTTGAGGAAGTTCCCAGTCCTGCTCCATGATGTTGCCCAGCTCAGTGCACTGGGTGCCTTGTGGTCTCTGGCCAGCCCGTGTGGACCCTCTGACATGAGCATGTTCCAGGGGACTCGAGTGTACTCGGGGTCTGTAGGAATTTGGGTCCTTCATTAATTAGAACGTGGCTGGGTTTGTACAAGGACCTCTATTTATTGAATCTCTACCGTTAATAAGATGGAGTCAGGGATCCAGAAAGAATCCTTCCTTCGGAGCGACACGTTAGGTAAAGTGGCCATGTGCTGTCCGGGAAGGTGTCCCGGTGTGCACCTGTAGCCCATTTGCTGGTTGAGACCCCCTGGCATTCCCAGTGCTGTTCCTCTGCACTTTCTGTCTCTCATTTCTCGAGAGTAGCTTGTTAATTTTACAAGTCTTTCAAAATAACAGCTCTTATGTTTGTGAGCATTCCTGGCAGAGGTGGAGGTGGGAGTGCACCTCTGCTGTGTCTTTGTGGTATGGTTAACCATTTCTGCTCTCAGGTTTCATTAGAGCCTTTCTCCTGCTGCTTTGCTTCCTCTGGTCCTTTTCCTGCCTTCTCAGTTACCTGCCTAGTCAAGCCCAATCTTTCCTTCGTGGGGCCTAACTCTAAAGGTTCTGAATTTCCCTTCAAGTAATGCCTTAGCTGCGGCCTACACACTTTGATGTTCTAACATTTTTGTAATCCTTCATCTGTAAATATTTTCTGACTTCATTTTGATTTCGTTTTTACTCTCAAATTATTTTAGATTGTTCTTATTATACTTCCTGATGTTTTCAAGGTTTTAACATTTTTTCCCACTTTTTATTTAATTTATAATTTAATTGCACTGTGGCCGGAGAATGCAATTTCTGTGAACCAAGTCTTTGACATTTGTTGAAGCTATCCTGGTATGCTTAGTAGGCATTTTTATAAGCATTCCATCTGAGCTTGCAAAACACCGTGTTTGTTTGCTGACCTTAAATACCTTGTTCTGTCTGTAGTCTGTTCGTTTAAGCTTAGTAATTACTTATTGCAAATCTTCTATATTTGAACTGATTTATTTGGCCGCATTTATCAAATTCTGAGAGGGGCATGTTGACGTTTTCCATTACACTGTGGATTTTTTTATTTTTCTTTATTCCTTTGCTTTTTACAGTTTAAAGCAATGCTATTAGATACAGCCATGTTTAGAATTTGTATCCATTCCCGATCAATTGAACTTTTTGTCAGTATGAAGTGAACTTCATCTAGATTGTGTTTTGCTAAATGTCTGTCTGTCTTGTATGAATAGTACTTCCTTTCTGTGTAGAAGTCGCATGGTATTCTTTTTCTTCTCCACTTTGCCTTCAGGTAAAAGAGCACCTCTAGAAACTGCATACAGCTGGCCTCGTTTTATAATCTCACCTGGGAAACTTGGGCTCTGGCTGGAACGCAAGCTGTCCCGTCCACTGCAGTGTCGTCCTGTGCTTACTAATCTCTACCATTTATTCCGAATTTCCATTTCTCTTTTCATTTGTGTTATTTTCCTGTTATCTAGGATCCTTTGAGATGGAAGATTTGGTTTTTCCTCACCTTATTTTTTTTCCTTCTATACATTATTTTTTCTGTTCTTTTGTGTTTCCCTTAGACGTTTGAATGTGCATGCGATGCGTCAGCACTGGGGACGTCTGTGTTGCCCCGTTCCTCATTAGGCTCTGCCCTCCCGGCAGTGTGGACCAGGGCTCCTGTGCATTCTCTCACTCATGCTCCTCCTTCTTTCTGAATATTTTGGCACCTTCATTTAGGAAGCCTATGCCATAAAAATAAATGCATCCACTTTCCATAAAATCAATAATGAAAATGAATATCCACTTACGTTTTTCTCTCAAGTGAGGTCTAAATACAAAATATTGTATACTTTTCTTAAAAGCAAGAAGTTTTCCTACCATAATCTCTAATTTGTTGCAATCAGTGCCTAAATAATTAGTTTAGTAATACTAACAAAGACTTGCGGATCAACCGTTCTGTGTCAGGTGCTTTCCTGAGAGCCAATGTGCACAGCATGAGAGAATCAGCTGCTGCCTTCAAGGGGTTCTTCATCTAGTCGAGGGGGCTGGCGGGTCAGTGGGTACCACCAGTGCAACTCAGGAAGTGCCAGGAGGGAAACCACTTCAGCTGTGGGGTACCCAGAGACAGCCCGTCACTCAGCTCGTTGCTGTTGGGATTGCTTCTGAGCTGTGAGCCGGAGTTTGGAGGTGCTTTCTAGACGGGGAGAGCTGAATGGACGTCTAGGCAGAGGAGTGAACCACTGAAATGCACAGGCTCAAGGGGTAGCGTTCGAGCAGCTGGTCAGAAAACCCTCTGCTAGGGAGCAACTGCAGATGTAACCGGCAAGTCAAATTAGTAACCAATTGTGAAGGTTATTGGAGGCCGTGGTGACCCATGGGCGGCAGGAGACCCATACCGGCTTTGTTCATCACTCCTCCCCAGTCACTAGAAGAGAACACCAGATATCTTTGCATACCTGCTCTGTTCCAGGCACTGTCCCCTGTGCCACACAGAGCACTGAGAAAGCACAGAGATGACCATGGGCCTGACAGTCCAGGGGAGGGGTGGCTTCTGACAGATGGTCCTACAGATGACTCTCGATCACGGTTGTGACGAGGCCACAAAGGGACAACACCAGGAGCCTGGAAGGCTGTATCTGGGAGGCGACCAGGGCACAGGACGTGCTCCCTTGAGTAAAGGACCTTGCAGCTGCACTGCACGGCCCAGGAAGTGTTCCCCAGGGGCAGAGAGTGCTGAAACCTATGCTTCATGGGGGTGCTTTTTGTACATTTTTCCTCTCAGTAACATTGCCAGTATATTCCCGGGAAAAAAAAAAAAGAAAAAGAAAAACAACTTATGGTTACTAGTAAGTAGAACATTCTTTTATATATAAAAGATGACAAGGCATTTACATGTCTTACTTTTGAATTTCTTATTTCTCTCTTTACCTAATGACTTGTTTTAAGATAAACAAGTGTGTGTGATTTCTGGCTTTAGTGTCATACATTACTGCTGCAGGGGTCTAGGAGTATTTCTACTCCATTCTGATAGTTTTCTGACTTGCTTTTCATAAATCTAAACCTTTTTCCCATTCGTGATATATTTTGGTGTAAAAAGCGACATCAAAATGCAGCCGTGCACCACGTAACAATGTTTCGGTCAACAACAGATTACGTATACAGTGGTGGTCCCGTAAGATTATAATGGAGCTGAAAATATTTGTGTTGCCTAGCGACGGCAGGGCCATCAAAAGAGGAATGTAGAGCTGAAGAAGAGGCAGAGAATAGGAAACTGCAAGAGAAGAAAACGAAGAACCCTAGAGAAAATTCGCAGTGAAGGGTTTCACTGGAGCTTTTGCAGACCTCAGGGAGCTACTTGAAAGTTTGACAACGTGGACCCCAGCACCTAACAGTTGTTTATTAACAAGAGTCATGTTCATGTACATTATTGGCTTACAAGCAAAACCGTGTTGACAAAAAGAAACAAACCAAGCAAACCACCATGGACGTATTTCCAAAAAGACTGACACCTCCAGAAGAGCATGGGTCCTTCAGGAGGCATTTCAGAAGGCCTTGTTTTCCTAGGAGGTGACAGCTCCAGGTGCGTAACTGCCCCAAAGACGTCCCTGGGGACAAGAAGTGGAGGTGGAAGGCAGTGGGGTTGATGTAAGCCTGTGTAGACCCAGGCTAATGAGTGTAGGAGCACCTTAATTTTTAACAAAAACTTTCAAGATTTTTTTAAAGTTGAAAATCACTTTGTAAGTATATAATGTTCCCATGAGATCTTCTAAAGACCGCTTCTCAGAACGCCTCTCCATCATTAGGAAGTGCGTAGTGATCTAGCTTTGCTTTTTCCAAACTGTTGTATCCCCGATATATAAACAGATAACCCTGCTTCCCCTGATGTCTGAAATGCCACGTATAGCTCACATTGAATCCCTACACATCAGAGGAGTCTCCAGAGAGTTCTCGGAAGATGTGTACTGTGAGAAACCTGTACTGATGCTTCAATTACAAAATGTTTTGCACCAAAATAAACTCATAATGTAAATCCATTTTCCACGAACTTTTTGAAGTCCCTGTGTGTTTTATTTTCTCTCTATTCTGTACACTGATGTTTCTTTTCCTGTGTTGACAACCTGTTCCTCTCTTTACCGCATTTCTATACTGTTTTAATATTAAGACAGGTTCTTTATTAAGGCTTCGTTTATTGAAACACTGTTTCCCATCAGTTACTCAAGTTTGATTTTTTTAAAAATTAATTTACCTCTTCCACAAGAAAGAAATGGAGAGAGAGATGGAGATAGGTATTCCTGATGGGTCTTTATTCCACAGTCAACCCCCAGTCTTAGCCACCCAGATCACAGGGATGCATGCACGTCCACACCCAGACCTTGCACACGTGGTCTAGCAACATGCTATGTGGTTTATCACAGGCTGTATCACCGCTTCTGGCCTTCAGTTTATTTTGTGTTTTTTCATTTTTTTAGGTTTCTGCATAGGGCACATCATGCTCCAAAGAGATACAGAGAAAGGGAAAGTGAGAAATCACCTCGCGGGGAGATGGCCACACCACAATCTCTTCTCCTCCAGTCGGGATTTTGGGCACACATGCACATGAGCCTGGCATGATTTTCTAGCTTCTAGGTCTAGGACTTGAACTGTGGCTGGCCATGAAAAATATGGACTGTAGGGACCAGCAGGTAGCATGGTGGTTAAGGCGCTCGACACCCACATGGCCAACCACAGTTTGAGTCCCAGACCTGGTGGCTTTCTCACTTTTTCTCTCTCTATCTCTCTCTAATCAAATTAAAATAAATAGATGAATAAATACAATTAAATAAATAATTTTTTAAAGAAAAAAAATGTGGAAAGTTTCATGAATTTGCAAGGCATCCTTACAAGGGGCCATGCTAATCTTCTCTGTATCATTCCACTTTTAGTATATGTGCTGCCAAAGTGAGTACTTGGCCTTCAGTTTTGTTTTAAGTCTTTCAACAGTAGTCGTTCCTGTGTAAGTAAATATTTTGTGGCAATTATGAGTAGCATTTTTTAATGATATTTTATTCATATTATATTGGTATGTAAGAAAGCTATTTATACTTAATTTTTTTATATAAAGCCACTGCACTCAATCCTATTAATTCATAACTGAGTATTTTACAGTGTTCAGGTAGTGCTACTTATTTTAATCCACAGGCAATAATCAACAGGCAGGGAAATAACCAAACTATAAAGTTTTAGCACGTAGTCCACACAGTCAAATGAGTAAAATTAAACCCTCCCATCTTAGGCGAGCAGGTGGTATGGTGGTTGAGACATTGCACTCCCACATGGCCAGTGATTTTTCACTTCCCCTCTCTCTCTGACTCTCTCCATCAAGCACACATGCCCAGTTGGGCGGGGAGAGGGGGGACAGATCAAAACAAAACTCTCCCACCTCAAACCTATTAGCCATATGTATCTCACCACTTAAGGATACATGCACAGAGTTGTTAACAGACTTATTTTTAAGTGTAAATGCCTCGGGCCATGTGTCCCCTTGCTCAGATAATCTGACTCATAGCTCCCTTGTTAAGATAGTGAAGTGGCAGTTTCTACAAAGGTGAATTAAGAGAGAACGAGCTTGATGGACAGTGGCAGACAAGACGTGAGCTAGCACGTGCTGAGCACTCACTGTTCGTAGTATATGAAGTCATTCCATCTCACAAGGACTCCTGCACGAGCATCGTCATCTCTGTTCATGGTAAAGGGAGCCTAGTCTCAGATTGTTTCAGTAACATGTTCAACGTACAGGGACAGAGCCCAGGTTTGAGCCCAGCTGGTGGGATTCCAGAACCCACATCCTACCACGGAGGCAGGAGCGTCTCATTTGGCAAACCAAAGAAAGAGGGTTTTGTTTTACATTTGATTATTTCCGAACTCAGAAGTCCCTGTAGTTTGTTCCAGATCAGACTATCTCACACTCAGCGCTGGCTTAGGCTTCAAGAAAGATGAAGGGAAATGCGTCGCAGCAGAAGAGTGAAAGTGTCGGGAAGTGGGAGGAAACTTAGGAGGAGGCCATGGTGCCGCGTTGCTGGTCAGGCTGTCTCTGCGGCTGTCGCCCTGGCCGGTGGAGTCCCCTCTCCTTCCCTGGCCATGTGTCTACCAATGGGGGACCACCATGCTTCACCTTTGCCTTCTGGGATCCCTGGTTGCTTCCCACTACCTGCTGAGAGAGGGGCTGGGCACGTGACTCCCACGCTCTCTGTAACTGACCAGATCAGGTGAGGAACGTCTTGGAAGTCTGTATAGGTGAGCAAGGGTACCCAGAAGTTTCTGTGCCCTGTCAGTGGAGTAAATGAGGCAGATCATTCACTCTAGAGCCCTAGATGCAGCTAAATCCACAGAGACTGCAACAGGGTTATGTGTCCCTAAGACAATAAGCGGGTCACTGTGGGTGCTCTTCTCCCACTTCCTTAGGACTTCTCTGCATGTGGCTGGCACGTTTATTTTCTGTCTGCCAGCTGCTTACAGAATCAGGCATGCCAAAGGTTTCGGCACACCCGAGTCAGCAGCAGTGGTAGGGACACAGCTGTACGCAGAAGCCTGCGGTTCCCCAGATGCTGTCCACGTGCAGCCTCAGTGGAACCCAGAGGGCTTCCTCCCCTCCCTGCCGCCAGTCTCTCGGCCCACCTGGAGCTGAGGAGCTCACTCCGCCCCATTCTCTCCCTGGCCTTAGACAGGTTCAGGTTTCACAAGCCTCCTATGTATGAATCTATCCAAACGATGTTTTCCTCAAGGGAAAAGCCACATTTGGGTAGCAAACAAGACCTAAGTCCACCGGCCACAGCTCGGTCATACTAATGAACAACAGCCCCTTGTCAGGCTTCCAAATCCCCACACAAACAAGCGAGGAGGCAGCACCGCTGCATGACTGGGGAGAGCCGTGCTTTACCTACCGCGCTTAAAGGTCGGGCCCGGAGGAGGAAACTTGATGGGAACGGCACACTTAGAAAATCTGCCTGCGAGTAGTGGGTCGAAAGTCTGAGTCTCACTGTTAAATCTTTTGCTCACTCTTGGATTAGGGTTAGTTTTCATTCTCTTTATTAGACGTTTAAACTCCCAAACTGATAATGGACTCACGATAAGTGAGACCACACGGACACAGTGAAGTGACGCTGGTCCCCTCCTCAGATGCGGCTCGCTCTTGGGGCACAGTCAGCTTCCTGTCCCCATCCATGAACAGAGAGCAGGCGCCCACAGAGGTGTTTGGGAAGCGGATGGATTAATTGTCTATTCTTAATTCTATCATTTGCCTTTTCCTCTAGACGTATAGTATACATCTACTTATCCACCCGACCAAGGGCATAACGTGCACCAGAGCAGACAGATCACGGCACAGTCAGCCTTCCCTGTATGGGGACACCCAGGTTGTCCCTCGCACTGCCACCGCAGACAGTGCTGTGGTAAATATTATTACTGGGAAAAAAGTCTTTGCTGACAAACAATGTGAAACCTGGTCATATAGAGTAGAAAAATCTTGATCCATTTAAAACTGTTTTCCCCAAATCAGAAAGTACCTTTGGTTAGTATTGAATGAATTTATGCCAAATGAAAAAAATGCAGATTTGGCTTATTATCTCAATAGTCTTAAAATACTAGATGTATTTTAAATTTGTGTCATAATTCTGCCTTGAAAAATCTTTTAAGACAATATTATAAATTATTGGGGTAACTTTGGTATATATGTTTGAAATATTTTTATTATGCCCAAGGACAAACTGACTTTTCATGGCAAGCATTCAGGAAGGTTTTTTATAGCCCAGTTAAATGTACAGAAATATTCACTTAATGGAATTTAAATGCATATGTTGTGTTCAAATATTTATTGCGGGACATATGAAAACTCTCTTTTTTAGCCCACAAGAACAAGTTCGCACCTGGTCACTGATGTATAAATAGTGAAGTCGATCCGTAGCACTGCCATGCTGTTACCATCGTCTGACCCGATGGTTGAGCCTCACACTGTGGAGTGTACCATCAGTTCTTTCTTTTCGAGTGTCTTTGGGCACCTGGACTCAAATCCATTTCCATACATTTTGTGAATTAGCTGAGATGAGCGTCTCCATGCTTAAAGAACTGCAAGAAACAGGGTGAATGGCAGACTCCGTGAGCAGCCCGATGCTTCAGTGATTCATAATCCTTTCACCTGATCTCACTGTGCCAATTGTGGAGGCTCATAGCTAGGGCTTCACATAAAAGTTTCTTCCCAATGACTGAAAACCTGAATGAGATCAGTAAACAGCAAGGTCAGAAGCAGTCCTCCCCTTTGTGTCGCGGTAGAGTTAGGCTAGTCCCAAAATCTCTGCTGCAGAACAGGGATGAAGAGAAAAGTCCTGGGAACCAGCAGTTAGCGTAATGGCTATGTCGCTGGACTCCCACGTAGACGACCGCGGTTCACGTCCCGGACCCGGTGGCTTAAAACTCACACTGGGCGTGTGTGTGTGTGTGCCCAAGATCCCGAGAGGAGAATGGAGGAGAAGGGATTGTGACGTGACCATCCCCCCTGGGGGTGATTTCTCGCTTTTTGTCTCTCTGTCTGTCTCTGTCTGTCTGGCGAGCGCACGCACCCTAATTATCTCAATAGTCTTAAAATACTAGATGTATTTTAAATTTGTGTCATAATTCTGCCTTGAAAAATCTTTTAAGACAATATTATAAATTATTGGGGTAACTTTGGTATATATGTTTGAAATATTTTTATTATGCCCAAGGACAAACTGACTTTTCATGGCAAGCATTCAGGAAGGTTTTTTATAGCCCAGTTAAATGTACAGAAATATTCACTTAATGGAATTTAAATGCATATGTTGTGTTCAAATATTTATTGCGGGACATATGAAAACTCTCTTTTTTAGCCCACAAGAACAAGTTCGCACCTGGTCACTGATGTATAAATAGTGAAGTCGATCCGTAGCACTGCCATGCTGTTACCATCGTCTGACCCGATGGTTGAGCCTCACACTGTGGAGTGTACCATCAGTTCTTTCTTGTCGAGTGTCTTTGGGCACCTGGACTCAAATCCATTTCCATACATTTTGTGAATTAGCTGAGATGAGCGTCTCCATGCTTAAAGAACTGCAAGAAACAGGGTGAATGGCAGACTCCGTGAGCAGCCCGATGCTTCAGTGATTCATAATCCTTTCACCTGATCTCACTGTGCCAATTGTGGAGGCTCATAGCTAGGGCTTCACATAAAAGTTTCTTCCCAATGACTGAAAACCTGAATGAGATCAGTAAACAGCAAGGTCAGAAGCAGTCCTCCCCTTTGTGTCGCGGTAGAGTTAGGCTAGTCCCAAAATCTCTGCTGCAGAACAGGGATGAAGAGAAAAGTCCTGGGAACCAGCAGTTAGCGTAATGGCTATGTTGCTGGACTCCCACGTAGACGACCGCGGTTCACGTCCCGGACCCTGTGGCTTAAAACTCACACTGGGCGTGTGTGTGTGTGTGCCCAAGATCCCGAGAGGAGAATGGAGGAGAAGGGATTGTGACGTGACCATCCCCCCTGGGGGTGATTTCTCGCTTTTTGTCTCTCTGTCTGTCTCTGTCTGTCTGGCGAGCGCACGCACCCTATAGCAAAAACCTCTCCACCTCCCCAAAAAAAGAGAGAAAAGTGCTAACTTTCTTGTAAACATGCTGTTTTGTAATTCAGTTTATTATGGGAATGAAATCCTAATTTCGTAATAGAAAATGGGAGACTTAACTACCTTATTTGATGAGTGGCTTATTTTATCCATTAAAATGAACTTTGTCTTCACTTTAAATATACACATATCTCTACGTTCAGCTTCTGGCTTCTCAGAGCTGTCGCTTTATTTCAGATTAACTCAGCATCACTAGTGGTAGAGAGAGTTCGCTTTTCTTTTTCTTTTTTTCTTCTTTGGCCTTTCCCATAGCTTATAGGGGCACACCACCGTGTTACTCC